TGATTCCTCCTTAAGATTTCATTTTCACGAGAGAGATTTTCTATCCTGTCCAGTAAGGATTTCTGTAGCTCAAGCATTTGTGTTTGAAAACTTCTAAATGTTCTTATCATAAATTTTTGAAATCCGTATCTTGCATTTCTTCCATCTCATCATCTTCATAATCTTGGCTTGGGGTGTCTTGTTCATTTGGGGGCGTCATAGTGTCTTCCTTGTTCTTGTTTCCTCGGTTTCTGCGTTTGTTGCTTGGCATTGTGGAGATATTCTTTGGATTCTTCTTCCCTCACTGTGGTGTTTTTTTCTTGTTATACTATGACTGTATTAAGCAGACTGTCTGCTTTCGATGGAGCCTTAGAGGCTTGAGATGGATGTGGCCAGAGAGCTCTGTTTGGTTCCTCAGGTTAAGGTGTGCCAAAGGTGACACTCCCAGGTTAGGCGTGGTAAATCTCTCTCTCTCTTTTTATTTATTTATTTATTTATTTTGATTCAGAAGGGAAATAATTCTGCACAGCTGAGCAGAATTGAAGGTAGTCAACTTCCAATCTCTGGCTCCTGTGGGTATATCATTCGCCTGCTCTTTCCCAAGGACCACACAGGGAATCTGTTCTGCCCTCAGTGTGGGCTCAAATTCTCCTGCAGTCTCCCACTGGGTAGCCAAGGTTACCAAATTGTAGCGTCTCTGGAGAGTACTCACATGAACTCCATGAGTTCTCTCACCTACCATCTCTTTTTTTCAGTCTCAGTTCATTAGCACCACACATTCACTAGGTCTTAATCTCCTGTTATTTCACACACACACACCCCACCAGAGTCAGGTTTTTCTGCTTGGCTGAGGGCAGGTGCAGCCCTGAGGTTGTACCACTTATGACGTATGTCCAAAATGGCGCCTGCTCTTTGTCTTGCTTGCCTTTGAGAGGTGAGCGGAGACAGAGAAACTCATGTCCATACCGGTCATTTTTTTTTCTCTCTCTTCTAGCTAGCCTGGTGAACTTTCCCCCAGGGGGCTTCAAGCCTCGTTCCCTCTAGGCTCCTCCTTCCACTTTCCTGCCGGTGTCTTGGGCTATTGAGGTTCGGCTCACTTTGCATTCCAGCACTGATGCGTTTATTCCACTGCTGGTGTCCCGAGTTGTGGACTCCCACACCTCCCACACAGGTCCACCATGAATCACGGTGAGAGTTTCCTCTGCTGTTTCTTCCCCAACTCTTCCTTGAACCTGCAGTATCTCCACTTTTATTAAACTGTCTCTTCCAGGACTATCAGTGTGCTCCCTTCCTATTCTCCCATTTTGCTGCTCTGCTATATGCTGATTTTTTAAAATGTGATGGAGAAGGTGATTATTTAGGAAATAGAAGAATCAAAAGACTAAGTTCCTTAAGGAGGTGAACATACCAGTAGGAACTCATGTTGGCTACAGATACTATTCCAACAGACAGCGATAAGGATTGAGGAAGGCTGGGAAGTTTGGGGGCTGGAAGACAATGAGTTAATATTCACATTTATGACCACCTACTTTCTCTGTGACATCATCACTGAAAGGACAACAATAAATAGTGCAGTGTCTTGAAAACAGTGTTAAAACTTCAACATCACTATTGTAGAAAGCACAGGAAGTCATTAATCAATAATACATTGTAGAATGCCTGAGCAGCACATAAGAGTAGACCAAGGTATAAGATTGTTATTTATTGTGGTACCAATCTGCATAAATGGAAGAATTACCTCCAAGCTTTTCAGGAACCTGGGGGAAGATAAATAATAATCAATTTTCCCAATCATGGAGTTTTAACAGGAGGCAAACTTAATTCAAGCATAATTAAAATAATAAATTGGGATAAAGGTGTTCCACTCAACCAACTTTTCATGATTGTGGGTTCTAAGGCTAAAGAGGATCATATTTCAGCGGTGAGTCACAGCTATGTTTTCCAAGCTAGATCTATAAGGTGCAAAGCATGCAATAAATTTCAAAGTGTCTCTGAATTCTTCTATTAACTCCTCTGATGGGTTTAAAAATTTAAGATGAGAATTTTGTAAATTCCAGATTCAGAGTTTACAGTTTCTCGACAATCATAAATATAAGCAGTCATAGATATAGACTGAATGGAGAGCCACTGGAGTCAAAGATCTTAAAGAACAATGACTACTGGGTATTAGACACAATCTCTACATGATCACTTAAGTGCAAAGTTGAAGGTGAATTTGGGATGAAGAGGAAAACTGTAAGCCATGTTCTAAAGATCCTGATGATATGATAGAGATACAGAGACTTAATGGTAACTGTGAATCTTGACAGAGCTGTTATAACCTGGGCCTTGATGGAAGATCTCTTACAGGAAGATAAATGAATCATTTTTGGAAGCCATAAAAGCAGAAGTAATCAAATGCCATGCCCATCCAGGCCCTTATATTTTTCAGGTTGGGGCTGTTAAATACATTCTTCACTGAAGAAAGCTGCAGGGTAAAGAACAATCTTGTAGAAAAGCTAGGTTTTGTTTTACTTAAGAAAACTATAGAATGCTTAGAGAAAGCAGGAAAAATATACAGGAGATTGATCTGGAGAGCAAAATGGGAAGGAGTTTCAAAGGGTAGAGAGCAAGAATAGAAGCCAAAAAGGATCTGGGAACAAGCTGTCTCATCCCATGCCATCAGTACTGACTGTTGATTTTCCAGTAAGATGGATAAAATGGGAAATGATAAAAAAAAGATTCATACATACCATAAACACTTTATATAACTTAAAACATAAATGTACACACATGTGCCAATCTTTTGATGTGAGGCCAAGGCCTGTTCTCTGCATATGGATTTGCTGATTGGAGTTATGCATCTTCTGTCTTACATAAACCACATCCTTCTTCTACAATTTTCAGTTTTGCTTTCTTTAAAGTGGAGGGAGAACCTGTAGTCACTTGTGAAATACTCTGAATGCAGAACCTACCTAGATTTGTATAACCCTATTCCCCCTTGACACCCCCCTCACTAGTCTGCTTAACACCTAGCCAAAAGCAAAGATTCCATAGATAATACTTATCAAGTCTTTTAAGAAAGCATTCAGCTTGGTTTTCATAGGAAAAAAAAAACTCAACATTCTTTTTATATTTATCAGTATATTTACTCTTTTTGTATATAATTAAAATAAGAATAATAAGAATTACAGCTGGCTAAGTAGGTTTGAGGACAAACACAACATACTTGACTCTTGGAAAGAGCACAGATCAGTTGGTGGGGGCAAGAATATATGGACAACCTAAAGAGAAACCTTCTGGCTGAGCACATCATGTGCTGAGGGTGAAAATCCATATGGTTAGTAGGGATTGCAGTATCAATTAAATTCTGTTTGTCAACTAAGAGATCAAGTAAGTGAGCTTTAAATGTACAGGAGACAAGATAGGTTGCAATTTGAAAAGTAGGCAAGGACATCAGGGATTGTACTATTATTAACTGACTTAAAGTTTCCAAAAGGAGAGCTGATATATAGCTGTTCTCTTCCCCCATATGCATTCTTTTCCTTTGTTCTCAGTCCCTTGACTCCTATGGCTTTTCCCATTTGGGAGAGGAGAGATCAGGAGTCAGGGAACAAGGTGGAAGAGCAGTAAGTGCTCAAGAAGAGAGGTCTGAAACTCTAGAGTTGCTTATGGGTCCCAAGCTCATTCCATTTATTCCTTTACTCTTTTTCTTTTAGCATTCACAATTTAGAATTTAGCCTGCTTGTCTCCTTCACAATGCACATTTCTTCACTGAACTTTTCTGCTAGGGACAATATTCTGGGGTTTTTGCTTTTTTGTTTTGTTTTGTTTTGCGTTCTCTCATTCTCTCTTTCTCTTTCCTCTCACTACTTTTTCAGAGAGATTACTCCTAGTCACTATATAATCAAGGGTGGAGAATCTTGCTTCTGCCAAGGACAATTTGGTTATTTGTAACATTATTTGCAGGCCATACAAAGTTATCAGCTAAAAGATTAACCTACTATAAACTTATTGAATTTCAAGTCCTGTCTGTGGTTGCCTTGACAGGGCCAGACCAAATGATTCCACAAGCCTTATACAACTGATGAACCAGATGTTCCCCTCTCCTGCCATATATAAAGGTAAGAGTAATGAAACTGACAAAACAGGTCTATACTTTCAAGAAGTGCTCACAAGGCTAAGCAGGCTACATCTACAGTGCCCTAAACACAACCACCAATTCTCTTCTTATGTTCTCCCATATAAGTAAATTCATCACACATTCTAGATTTCTCAATAAGGAGGCTCCTAAACTAGGAAGTTTCTCTTCCACAAATCCATAGCATAGAATCAAAAGATATTCAGTATGGAGAATACTGGGTACTGCTAAATTGGCCATTTATAGATTAGTCATTATTTATTGAGCACTGTGTGTTGATTGCCTCAAAAGTTTCAGGCATTTCCATGCTTAATTCTCATTGAAGTGGTAGTATCATCTTAATTTTGGCTTCAAAGGTAAATTAACAAGACTAAGGGATTAAGTATGGTGTTTGAGGTTACAAAGAAAGTATCATAGATAGATTTATATCTAATTAATCGGTTGTCAGAGGCTAGGCTCTTAACCATTATTCTATGCTGGCTTTTCTCAGACCACCCAGAAGTGGATTTCATTCATAAATTAGAAGAATTTTTATATTACTATATAACATACAATGCCAATGATTCCCTTCCCCTAATGATCATGTCCATCCATGAACCATAAGAAAATTTGCTTACGGTATTCATCTAATTGTTCTAAAGTGATGTTTATCTGTTTGAGACAACAAAGAAAATAATTAGCTGGTTAAAATATACTCTTTCTGATCTAACCAACATTATTTGGAATGAAATGATATGAGACAGTTGTATGTCCATCATGAAAGCAATTCCTATTCAGTCCTTTCTGCAAACATAAAACATCTATAACAGAGTGGAGAATCAGGGAAAGAGATTCATGTAATGGGATAGGAAAGGTAGGAAGATCAAACAGTCACTTGCTGGAAATTTAAATATTCACTTACTTTTTTGGTGCACTTCTTGACAGTGTTGATTAATTCTTGCATTACTAGATCTACACTCTTCAAGGAAGGCCCTTTCAGTTTTACAATCTGTTTCTTGACTATTGCTTCAAATGCCATGTCTGGAGTAAACAACCCTGTCCTGAATGAAAGAAACAAAGTATAATTTTAGATTTTAAAAATTTAGTATATCCAATAATCTTTGAAAAATATTTTTAATACTACTAAGCCATAAGTTCCCACCTATAGAATATTAATATTATATAAAAACAGTGCCTAAAGTATTCTCATGGCATATAATATGATTGTTAACTTATATTTAACTAAAATTTGTCTCACTTGACTTTAACAGTAGGTTACATATTAATGGATTCAACCAATGTCAGATCAAAAATATCTGAAAAAAAGTATCTGTAATGAATATGCATAGGCATTATTTTAAGCATTATTTTCTAAACAAAACAATGTAGCAATCATTTACATACAGCCCTTACAATGTATTAGGAATTGCAAATAATCTAAAGATAGTTTAAAATAAAGGGTATTTCAAAAGTTTCATGGAAAACAGGATTAAAAGATATTTGTTTTGGTGCAAAAAAATTGAAATCCTTGCTTAACTTTTACATAATAATCATTTTCCATGAATTTTATGAATAACCCTCAAATATATACAGGAAAATGTGTGTGGTTATATGAAAATACTTTTTTATATAATAAACTTGAGTATAAATGATTTTGGTATCCAAGGTGGGGTTCTGGAGCCAATCCCCTATAAACTACTGTGTTAAAATAGAAATAATGTCCTAAGCTTAAATTCCTATCTCTAAAGAATTCTTTAAAAGCTATCCTCCTTTGTCCTTTATGGAACAGCAAGTGAGCCTCATTTTAGTACACTGAAATAGCAGAGTCTCTAGAATATGCAAACCAATTCTTCCAAGAGAGCTACATTACAGAAAGTTTGATGGTTCCCAACCTGAGGTTCCAGAGGGTTGAAGGAAAAAGACAACAATGGAATCCATGAATATTAATGTTTCCAGATGCCCAAATTAAATTATAAATTTATAAAAATAACAAATGAGGACCAAAATAGCCAAATACCTGACCTTTGGCTGAAATTAACTCAAATTGGCATCATAACAATGTTTTTCTTACGCTGAGCAGGAGCTCAGGAAGCAGGTGTGTGTGTGTGTGTGTGTGTGTGTGTGTGTGACAGAGAGAGAGACAGACAGAGACAGAGAGAGAGAGAGAGAGATGACCTATTTTTTAAGAGGTCAAAATAGAAAAGCTACAATAAGAGGGCCTCTTCAATCCAGCATTGACCATGACTAAATACTTGCAGGCTCCAGACTTTAGCATTGATTCTTCCCATTCCTAAACCTGGTCCCCTTTCTTTCCCACCTCTCATTATTTGATTAACTTTTTTTCCTTCAATACTCAATAGTATGGTATCTCTTTTGGACATTTTCTTTAACATTTCTCTTATATCAGTTTTACTCAACATCCCTCCTTATTATTTGCTGAGCACTTGTGGTCACCTTTGTTTCTAACTATAGGAATCACAGCATATTTATATTAGAATTATAATTTCTCCACATTGGACATAGAAGAAAATCCAAACTGTTTAGTCTAATATGAAAATTTTACATGGTCTGATTGTAACCTTCTTTTGTAGTTTTGGCGTCTTCTCATTTCATATGTTCAAGTCAATATTTTATATCTTTGCCTTTTACTATGCTGTTCATGTCATTCTCTCCATAATTTCAGCCTGTCCAAATCCACCTGTGCTTCAAAAATAGCCACTTCCTATGGCTCTGGTCATTCTCCAGACATGCTGCTGAGAAAGCTTTCCTTCTCTGAAGCTCAGGATTCTATTTCACATGGAGTAAGCTGGGCACATATTTTAGTCCCAGTACTACACTGGTACAGAGAGCTGTTATCCTACTTATCTTGGCTTGCTCCACAAGGACTGTCTCCCTCCCTATTCCATAGTTGGCAATAAGGTCAACCAAGAAAAGAATAGAATCCAAGATGAATCAAAGATGGCTTTTATTATTTAAATGTATAACAGAATCAAATGTAAAATGTTTTAAGTATAATTAAAAGGCCTAAATAATCATACCACTAGCTGGCATTTTACTCAGGCTATTGTTCATTCCTTATCATCTTATAGGCAAATTCATCCCAGAATAATAACCAATCTTTTCAGTTGGCATATGTATAAATCAGAAATCTACAACTCTGAATTACTGAGCTTTTGCAGCTTTATCCAACAAAAATGTATTTGGTAAGGCGTTTTACAAGGTAAGTAAAAGTGCTTCATTTGATTCCATTAATAATACTTTATGACCCCAAAAATGTGATTTGGTTCCACTGTATTTATCAGAACAACATATTCAAACACTAAAGTCAACTCAGCTCAATAAAAAGACTGTTTCTACAAGAATGTATTTCTGAATTGATGGAAAAGAAATAGAATAGCCAACTTAGAAATCCTATAGACAATGAGAGAAAAATATTGGATTTGGTTTTAGATGTTTTCTCCTTTATACTTTGCAAATTCTTATTTACCCATACTATTTGGGACCCCTGGAGCAGCTTATTTAAATGGTAAATTGACTGAAAATTTACACTTCATAACTCCTTTGGAAAATCACCTATCACATGCATATCAATGTCAAACTTTTCCCTCTCAGAGTCAAGTTTTGTCTGATCTTAGCACAGTCTCAACTTGACCCTGTGGCAGAAACTGAACTACAATTGACAACAGGGACAGGATACCTCCTTCATATGACAGAATCTAAGAACGAGGCAACCTAAGTTTCATCACCTTGAATTCAAGACTTAATTTAGAATATGCTCATTAAATGATGCTTGACCTTCTGTATATGAATTTAAGAAATGTGTGTTTTCAAATAATTGTTTTTCTTATCATAATTCTTTAAAGAAAGTGTTATAGACTAAATGTTTTTATCCCTCCAAAAATGTACACGTTGCATCTTTATCCCTCAATGTGATACATTAAATGGGACACTGGGAAGTACTTAAGTCATGAAGGTTGAGCCCTCATGAATAGGACCAGGGCCTTATAAGAAAAGGTTAGCTAGCTCTCCCCGTGCCATAGAAAGATACAATGAGAAGTCAGCAGTCTGCAAACCAGGATAGGGGCCCTTACCAAAACCTGTCCAAGTTCCTACCCTGATCTTGGACTTCCAACCCCAAGAAGTGTGAAAAACAAACTTCTATTGGTTTTAAGCCAGCCAGTCTATGGTGATCTGTTATATCAGCATGAACAGACTAAAATAGAAAGTAACTTGGAATAATCTCACTTTAAACAAAAGGAAGTTTAGATGCAAGTTCCACCCCATCCCACCCTTCCAGCTCATATTCCTCTGGTCTTTTATTCCCATTCCTCAGACCAATCAAAATGCAAGACTCTTGGCTCCATGAAAACAAGCTGCATTTTCCCACCTGTGTGCCTCAGCTCATGCTATACCTGCCACTCAAAAGTCCTTCCTGTTGCCCTTTATCCTCAACAACCTCCATTCCATCATCTCACACTCACTCTATCACTACTCACCTCAGCCACATGCACACACACATATCAAAGCACACATGTACACCCAACATACGTCGGCCTATGGAAATCATTCTCTCAACAGCCAAAAGTTCAACTCAGAAGTAACCACCTTCATTAATCTTTCCAAATCCTGCTCCACAACTCTAGTCAAAATGAACCTTCTCTCTGTAAGTAATGATTACTTATGAATATGTCAGGCTTCATTCACTAAAATAGAAGGCTTTGGTGGACAAAATCTTGCTCATCTTTGAACTCTGTTGTACATAGTATAGGCTGTGAGCACAGCAAAAACTACAGCAATACATGAAACTGCCATTGAACCCAAACTATGATCTCCTATTTCTTAGGCCCACCTTTGTAGTTTACTCTGCTTAGACGATAAAAAGGCTACTTTGCTGGCAACTTATAAAAATTGACTTTTTTGGTAGCTTGAACTGGAGACAAAAAAAATGTGAATCACTTGCCTGATACCATGTATGTTTTTGATTGCATAGCTTATTTCTCTTCTCAATTCTTTCTCATTGAACTCCATCTGCAGATGCAAAATGAGCCATAGTTATGACACTTAATTCCTTTGAATAATAATATTGTTTAATATTATAAAATGAGAATAACTTGAGTTAGTTATTAATAAATGGATACTCATGTCTCTCTGAACCTAAACCCAGATGGTCAAAACATCTGTTTATATAAAGTTCAAGGCAGCATAGAACACTAGGGATTTCTGGGAGTTTCAGTGTAGCAGATTTTAACTGTATAATATATAAGGAGTGCTATGCATAAAGGATGCCTTCTGGGCATAAATCTAACTATGCATTTGCTTCTTTTGCTGAATATAGCAAATTTGAGGACACAAGGAAGACTGTCACCTGATGTGCAGCAGTGCAGCTGTCCTAGAGTAACATTGGCCATCTTTTCTCCCTGGCCATTTTAACCTCCTGAGTTCAAGGCCTCTTTATAAAAGGAAATTAATAGAATTGCATCAAGCCAACACAGGACAGATTGCTGTATAAATATTTCCCAGAAGTCCTAGGTACCATAAATCTACTTGGAAGTAGGATCAAAGTGTGTTGGAATTTAGACATAGAAGGGGTATCCAGAGAACATCAGGTCCAGCCCTTACTCCTGAGATTCAGCTCCATCCAGCCCCTTCATCTGCTTATTTCCTCTCTCACAATTTGTACCCTAGAACCATGAACTGCTTTAGGTCTCTACCCACATCCTGTGGCTTCCCAGCCCAGACCCTTTATTGTTCCTCCCTTTCTTTCTGGAACACCCCTCCCCTACTCCACCCCTTCCTGTTAAACTAGCTGCTCATCCTTCCAGACTTAGCTCAGCAGCCTGGCTTCTTTACACACTTGGGCTGGGATTCACAGCTGTGGGCTGGGTTTCCATGGCACCCTGTGCTGAGGCTTATCATTTTACTTAGCACATTTTAATGTAACTATCTATTTACCCATCTGGCTCCCACACCAAGACATAAACATCCACTTGGTTGTATACAAAGCAAGTAGCATAGTCCCTATTGCTACTTGGCCACCTTACTGGACATTTCACACTTAGTAAGTCCAAAATAGAGCTCTCAATTCACACCTCCACACATGCAAAACTCTTCCTCAGTTTCCCTCATCTGATCGGCACCATCACTCATCCAACTGTGAATGGAAAAACTTTGGGAGTCACCTCAAGTCTTCTCATTTTTTTCATCACCCATATAAATCCAAGCTCTCTTGATTGGCCTTAGCTCCAAAAACTCTCAAAGCCATACATTACTATCCATCTTGTCTTGTAAGGCCACTTATACTGGGAAGCCAAAGAAGTTTAAGTTTCAGGTTTTCTCTCTTGTATAAGATCTCTTCTAAGACTCTATGCTTAACTGGGTACTTAAAATTTTGTGTTCTACTTCTTTAAGGAGGCTTCCAAGATTGTAGAAGCTTGAAAACCCAAGAAAGTGGATCCATCCTGGATCTGTCCCTACCATATCCCTTGACTATTCTCATACCCCTTTATAATCCAGCAGCCATAATTCTCTTTTAAAATTACCAATAAAATCTGATCATATTCCCTGCTTAAAACACTCTGGTAACTCCCCACTGTTAAATATAAACATTTGACCTCAATTCAAAAGCCTTACTTGAACTGGGCACTTCCTTCCTCTCTAAATTCATTTCTCAATCTTCCCCTTCGTCAGCTGTGCACCAGCCACATCTGCTCTTTACCTGCCATTATCAAGTCTGATTTAGGGCCTTGCACAAGGATACTTCTTCTGCTTTGAAGCAACCCCTTCCCCTAGAGCTTTATATGGCTGACCTCTTCACGTCCTTGTGATCACTCCCCTACTCATGAGAATGGACATGAGCACCTCATTTAAAGTGCTTCACCTAGCCCCTTTCTCACAGTATGTTACCTTAATAGAATTTGTTAATCTCTTATTTTGTCTACATATTTATTTTCTGTCTTTCCCCACAAGACATGTAAGAATCTTATATGTCTTCATCATAGCATTCTAGAACTTTGGCACATAATAGGTACTCAGGAAATATTTTTAAATTAAGTAAACAACAAGTAAACATCATAGGAAACTCAATTAGTATTTCCTTGAAATAATTTGAAATGTAGTTAAATCTCATTAAATAAAATCAGGAACATGAGCAAGAAAATATTTCTTGAATTTCATTACCAGAGTAGAAATTTTGTTCGAAGAACTTTCTTAGTCTCATACCACTCACAAGAGATTTGTAAAACAGAATATGAAAATTAAATGAAATAAAAGGTGACATTCAGTACAAACCTTTACTATCTCAAAAGGAAAGCGTTCATGGAAAATACGATTGATTTTAGCACCACCCGAGAGCTCCAGAGTATCTACTTGATCCCCTGACCCTTCAATTCTTTTCTCAAAGTCCACAGCAAATTGCTGAACCATCCTGTAATTGTGAGAGAGAACAAATTCACGTTAAGTTACAATGCTTTGCATGCCTCATTTTATTCTACTGTGGCAATGCCTTTAGAATTCTTTTCCTGGTGTTCTTAGCGGCACCTACTGGCAGTTATTGTACTCTCAAACTCAAAGTGTGACCGTGGCATAAACAACAAGATTTATTTTAGACATTTAATTATAGTAAATATGTGAAACATCCTTGACTTCAAATGCACCCATTTGATCCATTTGGTTTCAACCATGAAATGGTATTTAAATAGTACTTGAGCTGAAAATTAAATATAAACCATAAAATTTAATGTAGAATAATAGTCAAACGAACCTCAGCTATGACCCCACACTTACCTCATGTCCCAGATGTTCCAACTGAGTCCCCTAATACTTCATGAGCTACTCGTTCTTCCCCCTATATCACAGCCTTGGTCTCTCCTGCTTGTCCCTGAGGCTCGTCCTATGTGATCTGAGGGTTGGCTATAGCCTCAGGGTTATGTTCAAGCCTTTGGTTCTAGCCCACAACCCAGACATAAACAATGGGCCCATAAGCCCAAAGGTCTACTGGACGTTTATTTCATTTTAGCTGCTTTGAATTCAATATACCTAAAACTGCACCCCTCAACTCCTGCTACTCCTAAGACTGTTGATTCTCCTGCATTTCTCAATTTCTCCTCCCACTCAAGGCAGAACTCTGGGGCATCCTGCACTCCCCCACTCCATCATGCTGCACTGCCAGGAGCCACCTGGTGTTGATGCTTCTACATCCTTCCACTATCTCAGACCACAGCCTCTTCCTCTTCATAACCAATGATACAGCCTGGTCTCAGTCTTTAGAAGTTCCTCCTGGGATTCCTGAAGCCCCTCTAAGTGACCATTCTGCTTTCAGGTTTATCCCTGTCAAGGTCAGACCTCACTTTGCCCGAACAATTAAACTTTAACTCCTAGGCCCCTCTACAACTAGCTTTTGTCTCATTTTTCAAGGGATCACTGCAATTTGCTAATAAAATCAAAACTCCTCAACCTAAGACTCTTGATTGTCTGGTCCTGGCTCCCTCTGCAACCCCCTTCTTCACGACTCATTCAGATTCATTTCTAGGCTGGCCACAGGAACCCATTTGCAGTTTCTCAAATATACCAGGCCCCTGAGCTTTCACTTGTCTTTCTTTGTGTTTAGAGCACCACTCTCTCTGCCTTTCGCTGTTTTGCCTGGTTAACTGTTATCCATCCTTCAAGATTCAGCTCAAGCATTCTTTCTTCCAGGAAACCTTCCATGATCCGTGGCCCTATCTACCCCTACCTTTCTCCATAGCCCAGATGAAGGGCCCTTCCTTGACTTTCTTGGCATAGTTCCAGCATAGCATTTAGCAGAGTACATTGCCATTGCTTGCTTATCTATTGGTCACTCTCCTCAATAATTTTACTTACATCTCCTTGTTCACAATACAGACATTTGCCACATAACAAGGTTTTGATCAGAGACCACATATATGAGTGGCCCCATAAAATGACAAAAGAGTTGAAAAATTCCCATCATCCAGTGATTTTATAGGTGTTGTAATATACTACTCACATTTTGTAGTTTTCCTGATGTAAATGTACTTCCAATTGTGTAAAAGTCCAGCATATATGATAATATACAGCACATAATACTCAATAATGATAATAAAAGACTCAGTAATAATAATGATACTGATAATTATACTCAATAATGATAATGCAAGACTATATTACAGGTATATGTATTTATTATATCGTTATCATTAGAGTATACTCCTATTTATTAATTTAAAAAGTTTACTACACAACAGTGTGCCATGTTACAATATCAGCAGCCTCTCACATCTCATATTTACCAAGTCTCTTGATTGTATCATCTTCATCTCATGCTTCATTTACTGTCATTTTTTTTGTTCAGTACAGTCATAGGAGCAATAAGCTATATGTATGCTAAATAACTTAGGTGTGTAGGAGGCCAAACCATCTGGGTTTGTGTAAGTAAAGTGAAGATGTCTGCATAGTGACAAAATAGCCTAATGAAGAATTTTTCAGAATGTATCTCTTATTGTAATTAAGCAATAAGATATTTATCTTATAATAAATGAATATCTGCTCAGTGACAAAAATGAATTACCTTAAGGTGATTGCTTAAAGAAAAACAAAAAAAAAATAAGAAAACAACTTTTCCAATCACGATTACTAGGTTTAGAAGCTCTAATTCTGACATATTAGAACCTCTTTAAATTCAAAATCAATAGAAAAATTCAAACCATCTAAATTATCTTTTTATTGTTTTTCATCAAAATCATAGGTGAATTAAAAGTAACTAGGTCAGAAAAAAATAAGGCAATTGGGTTTATCTATGTTCATGTCTATGCTAATATTGTTTAAAACCCCTGGAGTGGTAAATAATGTGGAATATGCACTGAAACAGTAAGAAATTTTGGAAAATTTGTCTCCAACCCTTCCTTTCCCATATCCTATATGCCAATTACCTGGCCCACTTACTGATTCTAAAAGAAGCTGTGCCCCCCTCTCCTTCCACCTAACAAACTCTTCTCAGTCTTCATAGTCCCAAATATCATTTCCTCTGTGAGCTCACATCTTTCCTTGCATATAACTGCTTTCTCATCAAGCCTCCCTTAACATTTTGTCTTTTCCACAAACAGCATTTATCCAATTTTAACCCAGTTAGCTGCTTAGATGTCTGTTTTATCTTGTTCTGCTATGATTTCTTCTTGAGGACAAAAATCTTGCTCATTGCTGAATCCCTGAGAGACAACACAGAACCAGACACTGAGTAAAGTGCACAATGACATTAGAGGAAGGAGGAAGAAAGGAAGGTAGAGAGGATGGTTGAAGGCAAGAAATAAAAGAGAGAAAAGAAATAGGTCAGAAATAATAGGGCCATACGATGGAGCTGACCCTGTCCTCCACAAGTCAGAATCCAGCTATTAAAAATTTTGGGTGCATTTAAGTCACAGAAGCAAGACTCAGTCTTTGCAAGGAAAGCGGTTGAAGAGAGACACTAAGATAATGACTTAGGGCCTAAAAAGACAAATAACTTTAGTTTCTTTATAATTTGTAGAGTTTTTATAAGAGCTCAAACAAGATTAAGAAGGAGTTATATGCAAGGGAACTTCCTTTGTATGATCTCACCTGGTTTGTTTTTTTTTTTTTTTTTGAGGAAATGAAGAAATATAAGAATATATTTAGGATGCTATTTAAATGACTTGAATAGTAGGTATTTGGTATAGCAGTTAAGATGCTACTTAGGACAGCCCACATCCCATATCAGAGTGCCTGGGTTTAAGTCCCAGCTCCACTCTCAATTCCAGCTTCCTGCTAATGTGCGTCATAGGAGCAGCAGTGATGGCTCAAGTACCTGAGTCCCTGCCACCCCCATAGGAGACCTAGAACCTGTGTTGAGTACCTGGCTCCTGATTTTAGCTTAACCAAGCCCCAACTGTTGCAGGCATTCCAGGGGGTGACCTAGTGAGTGAGATATCTGCCCCACACATGCACACACTTTGTGTGTGGGTGTATGTCTTTCCAATAAATTTGAAAAATTTAAAAGAATAATAATAAACTCAAAATTTAGAAATCTCCCTGCAAATACATGAATTATATCATGCATCTTTAACATCAACTTAAGAGTGTTTTGACTGCAAGACTGCAGAAAGACAAAGACCATAAAAAGCATCAAACTTCACCTTTGGAGGTACACCGCCAGTGTCCTGGAACCTAAGTAGAGTAGAGGGGCCTCCTGGCTGAGAGGGACCTGAATATAAGCTAGAGCTTATATAAGGAACAGATGAGTGCAGAAAGGGTAAAAGGAGAAAATAAAAGCAGAAGATGTTAAGGGACTGGTAATTCTCTAATAATTCTGCTGCCCTACCCCCAAGATCCCTCAGGGAGAAATCTAGCAACCCAGGGATAAAATAGGAAGATCATGAAGGAGTAAAAAGATGTTTGGTAGTTCTTATATTTGCATGCTTAAAGAGATACATTAAAATCATCAACAAAAAGAAAAAAGAAATTCAAACTAGTCCTTGTTTTCTGTACTTTTTAATTAAATCATTGGTTCTCCTTCCACTGAAAAATGCACACAAATAAATCACTTGAAATAGAAATATAATAAGTGACATCAATAGAAGCCATTGTAAAATAAGATTACATTTTCTTCTGTATACACCCACTTGTAAAACTAAGGGCTAAGAACCCCATTGAATTATCACTACTGGTTTTACTTACTGAATCTAATTTTTTAAAATAATTTATTTAATTTATTTGAAAGGGGCAGAGTTAGAGAGAGAGAGAGAGATCTTCCATCTGCTGGTTCATTTCCCAAATGGCCACAATGGCCAGGGTACAGCCAGGAGCCTGGAACTCCATCTAGGTCACAGATATGCATGGCAGAGGCCCAACTATTCAGGCCATCTTCCATTGCTTCACCAGGTGCATTAGCAGAAAGATGGATGGAAAGTAGAGCAGCCAGAATGTCAATCAACATTCATATGTGAAGCCAGTATTACAGGTGACATCTTAACTGGGTGTGCTACAATGCTGTTCTTGAATCCAATTTTAAAAACACAATTGGCGCTGAGTATTCTGGCACAGCACATTAAGCCACTGCTATCTCTTCCTCCCTCTCACTTTCTCCCTCCCTCTCTCTCTCTCTCTCTCTCTTTATTTATTTATTTATTTTTTGACAGGCAGAGTGGACAGTGAGAGAGAGAGACAGAGAGAAAGGTCTTCCTTTGCCGTTGGTTCACCCTCCAATGGCCGCCGCAGCCAGCGCACTGCGGCCGGCGCACTGCACTGATTCGATGGCAGGAGCCAGGTGCTTTTCCTGGTCTCCCACGCGGTGCAGGGCCCAAGCATTTGGGCCATCGTCCACTGCACTCCCTGGCCACAGCAGAGAGCTGGCCTGGAAGAGGGGCAACCGGGACAGAATCCGGCGCCCCAACTGGGACTAGAACCCGGTGTGCCGGCGCCACAAGGCGGAGGATTAGCCTAGTGTCTCTCTCTCTCTTTACCCCTCTGTGTTTCAAATAAATACATAAATCTTTTTTAAAAAACACACAAATTGGACACAGGGATGTGCAATGAAATTTATAGCAAGAGGATAAGATCAATAATTATTTTTCAGGAAAACAAAGATTCAAGGGCCACTGGGTAACACAGAAAAAGACTCATTCTCAACCTGCTTCCTCTGTTAAACCTAGAAAACAATATGACAAATAGACCAAAGCAAAAGCGAACTGAAGGAATTCTATTAAGATGAGGAGCAAAGAAAGGCAGAAGAGACTTACTGCAGTAATGCTTTGGTCTTCCTGGTGGGGTCTTCAGGTTTGAAGTTTTTATAGGCTTCTACTTCATGTTCTATGGAGAGCAACTGTCCCTGGAGTTTGTTCCTGAAGTTTGGCAGGGTGTCTCGAATGTGGTTGGTAAGTTGCTGGATGAAACAAAACAAAAACATACATGCATATAACACATTGAAGATTAACTCATGAAACAAAAACCATCCTTCACTGTTTTCCTAATCACTCAAAATTTTAGAAACCAAAGAGACATTCCAGTTTGTGTAGGCTGATAATGAGAAGTGCAACTTTGTCTTCCACAGCCCTTAGGAGATGCTCAAAAAATTTTCAATTAGAGTCACTCACTTGGGCTATCAATTTATATATGGAAAGACCATGTCAAAATGCACAAATTTTACTAAGGGGGCGGCTCAATTTTAACACATTAGCATGGATTGATTTATCAGATCACCTATCTTATGGACAAGAACCTTAAGATAGGATATGGTAGAAATGAAGGAAGACAAGAGTTACAGGTGCTGCCTGCTGTTCTCAAACTAAGTAGCTTACCACACCACTGGATCTCAGGTAGTCAAGGGTGTGAGGGATAATCTGTCAGCTGTTAACTTTCCCTACACTGTATAATTCAGGCAACTACTTTCTGTGACTTCCACCTCTTGGACCCAGTTCAACTCAGGTTGGTCGTTAACTAGCTTATGCCTTCAAGAAATTTAATATAAAAATGTCTCAACTGAGTGAGGAAAAGCTTTCTCTGCTATTGATACCTCTACCTGACATCTTTACTTGGCATTTCCCGTAAGATCAGCTGGCACTTTGACTTCAATGTGAGTGAAAACCTCTCTAAGAGATTTTCTAGGAATCTATGATGAAAGAACAACAAAGGTGGGACTGTGAGCCCAGATAACTCAGTGCTGTCTTAGGTTCTTTCTACTATAATGCAATTGAAGAATCTGAACTAAAAGAAAAAAATGATCATCTTCTTGAACTGCTGATGTAATAACCTTGGAATCAGAAAAAGAGAGAATATAAACTGATTAGCAATGTGGGCAAAGGAAAAATAATTAAAATGAGAATAAATATACCCAGAGTGACTGATAAAATTCTTTCAGATCACCTTTATGTTTATATGTTTATAAAACTATTCAATATACAATTTCTTGTCAATATTTCACTCCTATATTTTTACTTTTTCCAGTTATGAATCATTGTGAAATTACCCCGCCTTTGGTTGCTGTTTTAGCTTTGAAGAAGGCAACAAAAACATTGGAGATGTTTTCAGTACCAAGAGTAATACTACAAGAGAAAAGGACTCAAATCTAAGAGTAATAGTAACCATGAAAAACCAGCAGCCACTGAACTTCAGTGTGAGCTGGTGAATAAATACATTTGGCTTTCACATTTTGCATCTCAGGTGTATCAATAGCAAGACAACATGGGGACCAGTCTCAGCTTTCTAATATATTTGTTTCCTTGGCTTTCATGATCCCAGCTCCTCTCACATTTTTCCTAATCATTTTGGCTATACCTTCTTTATCTCTTGATAATTCATTCTCCTCACTACTAGTAACTCATGAAAGTTCTCAAATCTGGGATTCTAAGCCTCTTTTTCCCTTATTCTCTGTGCTCTTTTGGGTGACAGCATTCTCTCTGTGGCTTTAATAAGTATCCAGGCACCTGTAGCTGCTAAAAGTGATAGCCAAACAGAGCTCCTTATCTTTACTGAAACAACTGAAACAACTTGCTTGACTTTTCCTCTTGGATGTGAAATGAAACATATTTTAAAAATTTTCTATACTACCTAAAATAACCTATAGGTTTAATGCAATCCCTATCAAAATATCAACATCATTCTTTACAGAATTAGAAAAAGCACAGGCAACAGGAGCAAAACTAAACAAATCAGACTATGTCAAGCTCCGAAGCTTTTGCACAGCAAAGGAAATGATCACTGGAGTAAAGACATCTAACAGAATGGGAAGAAATATTCACAAACCACTTATCTGACAAAGGATTAATATCCAGAATATACCAGCAACAACTTATAAAACTCAACAACAATAAAACAACCAATCCAGTTGAGAAAAGGGCAAAGGACTTCAACAGACTGTTCTGCAAAGAATAAATATGAACAGCCAACAAATAAGTGAAAAAATGTTCAACATCACTAACCATCAGGGAAATGCAAATCAAACCCACAATGAGATATCACCTCATCCCTGTCAGAATGGCTACAATCCAAAATATAGAGAATAACAAATGCTGGCGAGGATGTGGACAAAGTGGAACACTTATACACTGTTGGTGGGAATGTAAATTAATACAGCCACTGTGAAAAACAGTATGGAGATTTCTTAAAAACCTAGACTTGCCATATGATCCAGCAATCCCACTACTGAGAATATAGCAAAAAGACTTGAATATAATGTATCAAGAGATACCTGCATCACAATGTTTATAGCAGCCCTGTTCAAAATAGCCAAAATTTGAAATCAACCAATGTGCCCATCATAAGATGAATGGATAAAGAAAATGTGGTATATATATATATATATATATATATATATATACACACACACACACACACACTATGGAATATGATTCAGCTATTAAAAAAGACTAAAATTCTGTCTTTTGAAGCAAAATGGATGCAACTGGAGGACATCATGTTGAATAAAATAAGCCAAACACAGAAATACAAATGCCACATGTCCTCTCTTATATATGAGAGCTAAAATTCAAAAAAACAAACAAAAAGAAAGGCATGCTTATGTGTATTTACTGCATATTTTACTGTATATTTTACTGCAAATGTACTTTTATAAAACTTTGTTTTATACCTTTGTCAAACCAGTGGTTAAGAATTTTATAGCACTATAGTTTTAATGATTTGTGATTACTTTTAAAATTTATTATATGGGGGAAATGGTCATTTTTCCATTCAACTATTGTTTACAGCTATTTTCTATATTCTTACTAGACTAGGGGTATTTTATTGTTTTATTTTATTTGGTGAAGCATTAAGTCTTTTTATTGTAATGTGAATTTAAAATTTGCTATCAGGCCACCGGTGCACGGCTCAACAGGCTAATCCTCCGCCTGCGGCGCCGGCACCCCGGGTTTTAGTCCCGGTTGGGGAGCCGGATTCTGTCCCAGTTGCTCCTCTTCCATTCCAGCTCTCTGCTGTGGCCTGAGAGTGCAGTGGAGGATGGCCCAGGTCCTTGGGCCCTGCACCCGCATGGGAGACCAGGAAGGCAGCTGGCTCCTGACTTCGGATCAGCGCGGTGCGCCGGCTGCAGCATGCCAGCCGCAGCGGCCATTGGGGAGTAAACCAATGGAAAAGGAAGACCTTTCTCTTTGTCTCTCTCTCACTGTCCACACTGCCTGTCAAAAAAATAAATAAAATAAAATAAAATTTGCTATCAAAAAGTGAAAAAGAAGGAAAAAAGGGGAGGGGAGAGGGTGAGAGGGAGAGAGGAAAGGAGAAATGGAATATCATTATATTCTTAGAACTGTATCTATGAGCTATATAGAATCTGTCAAAAAATTAATTAGAAATTTTAGAATTATTTTTATACATAGAAACACACAAAATAGAAAATAAAAAATTAAATAGGAAATTTTAGAAACAAACAATTCATAAATTAAAAAAACTAAAATAAGTGGAATATTATTCAGCAATAAAAAGGGACATTATAAATACCACAAAAGGCATAAACAAAAAAAAGGATACAACTAGTTTTTATTTTCTAAAACTTCTTCAATTATTTTGCCTGAATGGTTCAGACACAATGTCACATATTGTGACAGCTTCTACTGATACCTTCAAGAAGCTAACAATCAGAACGAAACTGTTAGATTGGCTGATTAAGTTATAGATAAGAGTTTAAGCAAAACTTACGAGAATATTTGTGAGGAACATGGCTCACCATACAAAGTCAACATAATTAAAACTCAAATGACAATGACACAACTCCAATAAGGGTGGAAAATATGTAACCAAGGAAGAGAAGTACACAGTACATGGTGGGAAGAAGGGAGGCAGAAGACCCAAATTTATTTATTTTGGGGTAACAGGTTATCAGGAAAAGCTTCTGAGATGACTGGCAATAGAATTTACTGTTTGGAAAAGTTTAAAGTACAAAATAAATCATTCCTAAACAAAACCAGATAACATTTTCAACAGAAAATCTAGCCTAATCATTAGAGTGGTATTTTAAATGCAGATTCCTAGAGATCACTGTTACAGATCTACACAAGCTCAGCTTCTTAAGGTAACTACATTTTGTGAATGAATGCACACTCAAATGTACATCCCCTATTCCTTGTTCCCAAGTACATGTTTCTGCTTTCATAATTGTTCTTTCAATAATATTAAGGTGACTTTTATTCACTAAGAAAAGTAACAGTGTGGCTCTAAGTATCTATAAGCATTGTTTAATTTCTATCATTTAACCTAAATGTCTTGTGTTTGGGAAAAAAGTGAATTAAAAATTAGAAATATGAATTCCAATAGTTCTCTTGTGTGTAATAAAGGTTCTTGTTGCTTGAAAGAACATTTTTACCTGATTCAGGACCTTCTGCAGGTGTGGGGTCCCCATTCGATCAGCAATATGTCTGTAAGCCGGGTGGGAAAGAAAAAACTTCCTCTCTGCCAGCATGGCCGCCTTGATGTCCTTCTTCCCGTCTATGTCCTTCTGGCTTCTGTTTACCACCCCCACGTAACCTGAAATAAGGCACAAGCTATGGAGTTTGGCACTCTTTCTGTGCTTCCTCTAGGAATTGCCATGCTCTCAGACTGAACAAAAATAAGATCAGTTTAAGACTGAGTTCATTTACAACAATTTTTTTCATTTACAAAATTGAATAGGCTAATGGTAATTATTTTAGCATCACCTTAATAATGTTTTCCTCCTTAAAAATCTCTGCACATTTTACAGAATATGTCTCTCACTGGTTGTGACATAATACAAAAGTACCTAAAAAGTTTGTGTAAAAGTGGAACATTAAAAGTTAAGTTCATTTTGGTGCCCAAAATTCTGAAATATATACATAATATTTCATAATACTTGTTTTTCCACAAACATCTTGAAGTATTTGCAATCAGACTTATAACAGTACATTTAAGCAGCCCATGATGAATAGTTATAACCCTCCTTGAAACCCCTCCCTTTCCTGTTTCTTTTCTTTCTGTTAGTTTGAGGAATAGTTCTCCCTTTGGATCTTCACTTGAATACTGTGCCACTACATAAAAAGGATAACTAATGATAAACTTGTTCCTCTCAATTGAAAAGGCATTACACCACATCTTCTAAGTGGCTTCCCAATTGTTTCTCAGCCCTATCATCCATGGAAGTGCTGTATACATCACAGTACATTACCCCTGCGAAGAGGCAGCAGCTTGTTCTCTAGAACATCCCTGGCATCTGTTCCTTCATCCATAAGATCCAACTTGGTGATGACTCCAATGGTTCTCAGACCTGCATCATAACCAAAGCCAGCATTACACAATTCACAGAAGACCAACAGATTTTAAAGATATATATGTCTTAATGCAAAATGTAAAGCACACAATCTTAGCCTGCTTCCTGTTCCTCTCTGTCTTGCTGAGTTTTCTAATCTACTGCTACCCAGTCTAGTGAATTTCAACGTGATGAGGAAGAGAGTTTTGAAACCATCTTTAAGAAGATACCTTTCACCGGCGCCGCGGCTCACTAAGCTAATCCTCCGCCTTGCGGCGCCGGCACACCGGGTTCTCGTCCTGGTCGGGGCGCCAGATTCTGTCCCGGTTGCCCCTCTTCCAGGCCAGCTCTCTGCTGTGGCCAGGGAGTGCAGTGGAGGATGGCCCAAGTGCTTGGGCCCTGCACCCCATGGGAGACCAGGAGAAGTACCTGGCTCCTGCCAACGGATCAGTGCGGTGCGCCGGCCGCAGCGCGCCGGCTGTGGGGGCCATTGGAGGGTGAACCAATGGCAAAGGAAGACCTTTCTCTCTGTCTCTCTCTCACTGTCCACTCTGCCTGTCAAAAAAAAAAAAAAAAAAAAAGATGCCTTTCATTACAGGAAACAAGAATCAGTCTTACCAAAAAACCCTCTAAATATAAGCATACCTCAAAAAGTCCATGGAAAATGGCATTAAAAGGTGTTTATTTTGGTGCTAAAATTTTTGAATACATGCTTATTTCTTTCATTATACACCTTTTCCATTCATGTTTTGAAGATGAGTCATATGCATAGATTTCAAAACTGCACCAAAATAAATTTATCCTTTAGTTTCATTTTCCATGAACTTTCTGAAGTTCCCTCATATATGGTTTATTTTTTATAATGTTAAATAGAAATTACAGATTTCAATTTTGTCCCCAGGTATTCCATGTAATAAGGATGCTTTAAACTTTTCCTGTATTACACGGTTAAAAGCAAAAAAAAACAAATAAGCTACACAATGACAAATGATCCATGTAAGTCATAGACCAAGAATTATTATCTATCCAGTTCTGATCATATGAAATCAAAAAATAAGAAAATCTGCTATAGGATATCATCATCAGCTGAAATATCTTTGCCAAGTGTCACATTTACTGTTCCTTAGAAAAGGAAGTGTGCTTTAATGGAAAGAAGACTGAATTATGAGGCTTGGATTATAGTCTCAAGGCAAGTCACTTAACTATTATAACCACTAGTTCTCAATGTTCCTCATCTGTAGAATGAAGAGTTAAAAAACCATGATCTCTAAAGTTCCTTTCAGTTATAAAATAAGAACCTAGATATTTTATGTAGCACATCAAATATACATGGACACTATTTGAATAGTGATCAAGTGCATTTCTCTGAATGTCCTATTAAACATGGTTATTTAAATACATAATTATCTTTTACCTAAAATTACTCTAAAATAATAATGGCAAATATTCATTAACCTAGCCATGGTTTTAAATGATTTATATGACTCAAATAATTTAGTCTTAAAAAAATAGTCCAACTATTATCTTTTCAAGATGAGGAAGTGAAGGGAGAAAAGTTAAATAACTTGACTAAGGCCATACAGTCATAGATATGGGTCCAAACAATATAGGTTAAGAGTCTGTGCTTTCAATCAATATTTACTTCTCAAGTTATAAGAAAACTTTAAAAAAAAAAGTCTAAAACAAAAAGGTCAAAAGAATGAGAGAGGACCGCAGGAAGAAAAAACTGCATAACTGGAAACCAGAAGGATGATTGCTAACTAACTTAACAGACCAGCAAATGAGGAAAGCTCAATCAAGAAACCCAACAGTAGGAACCTAGTAGCTGGATAATTTAAATTACAGCACCTCAGAAATGCTTATGATGTGAGAGATGAACCTAAAACCATGGAGTGAGAGTGTGGCAGTTGAGCTGAAACAGGAGCCCTATTTTACATAGCTATCACATCATGGAGATTTCCAAGGTCCATCCTCTCAGGATTACATATGTTTATTCTTTGAATTGAACTAGAGAAACCTCTTAATTCAAGGGCAGCTGGCCCAGTCTGGGGGATCAAGAATTAAAAGATAATTAACTATATTCTATACAATGAATGGTAATAACCTCCTTCCCAGTTAGGTTCTCTAATCTGGCTTCAAGATTAGCTGTTAGACAATTACCCTGCAAGCATTTGAGGAGTGAACCAAAGGTTGGAAGATTTCTCTCCATGTCTCTCTCTGTTTCTCTTTCAATGAAAATACAATGATTTTCTTAAAAATAGCCCAATAAATCACCCTGTTGTAAAACCTACAACCCAATAGATTAAGCACACTTATATACAGTTTGTTAATACTTCACCTTTAAATATAAATGGATATCCATGGAGATTCTTAGAAACCAAAACAAATATATATTATAAAGTGGAATCGGGAGAAAACAAAGATAATGCAAAACACTGAAAATACTTTTTGATTTTTATTAATACTGAAAGAAAAATTATTGCATTCATATAACAAGATTAGAAAATCATTAAAAGAAACATTCAGATGAAAAAAGTCAATAACTACAAATAACTAAAAATCTCAATAATAAAAATAGCAGAAATAAAAACATTAATAGAATGATTGGATGATAAAGTTGAACATTCCTTCCAGAAAGTAAAAGAAATAAATAATAAAAACATGTTTTCAAAATTACAGAAATGACCAGAAGATCTATTATCTGAATAACTGGCATTGCAAAGAAAGAAGTTAAAAGAAAAACAGCTTTTGTGAGGAACAACATATCCAAGAAAATGTCTATAAGTAAAAGATATGACTTTATGGACTAAATAAAATCAGCAAATGCCCAAAACTAAATAAAAACTCTCTCTCTCTCTCTCTCTCTCCCTCTCTTTCTCTCTCTCTCTCTCTCTCTCTCTCTCTCCCTCTCTTTCTCTCTCTCTCTCTCTCACACACACACACACACAATACAGGATACCAGTGTAAGATTTCAAAACACTGGTAGCAGATATATATCCTAAAAAGCTCCCAGAAACATCTGAAAAAGAAAACTCACAAAAATAGAATTGAGAAGCACTGTAACACCTGTATTCCTGAGAGAAAAATAATTTCTAACCTATAATTCTTAAAAATCAATAAATATAACAGCAAAAAAAAAGAAATTTTCAGTCTTGTAAAATCTAAAAATATCTTGGCACCTTTTTCCCCTACAATGGAGCTATTAAAAAGGGTATGTTCCAAAAAACAATAGAGCATAGTAATAAAGAGGAAGACATGTAATCCAGGAAACAGAGACATCACCAAGAAAAAAAAAAAGAAAATCCTTACAATCGTGTAGATCCCAGTACAAAAACAAGAGAGTGATTCATATCTACCGGGGTAACAAGAGACAAAGTCCTGAAGAGATGTCTTCTTCTACAAGGTTGAAAACAATACAATATCTAATGCTCCAATTTTTTTAGCTATCAAGAGACTCAAAGCTCTGTAGGAGAGGCTGAGATGCATTAGGGATAGATACAGATGTATAGATGATGCACAAAATAAAAAAACCAGAAAGATGGGCAATTATCAATCTCAAAAAAGTACCTTTCATGAAGGGAAATTTAATCATAATGTACCGGCCAGCCCCGCGGCTCACTAGGCTAATCCTCCACCTTGCGGCACCGGCACACCAGGTTCTAGTCCCAGTCAGGGCGCCGGATTCTGTCCCGGTTGCCCCTCTTCCAGGCCAGCTCTCTGCTGTGGCCAGGGAGTGCAGTGGAGGATGGCCCAAGTACTTGGGCCCTGCACCCCATGGGAGACCAGGAGAAGCACCTGGCTCCTGCCATCGGATCAGTGCGGTGCACCGGCCGCAGCGCGCCGGCTGCAGCAGCCATTGGAGGGTGAACCAACGGCAAAGGAAGACCTTTCTCTCTGTCTCTCTCTCTCACTGTCCACTCTGCCTGTCAAAAAATTTAAAAAAAAAAATCATAATGTACCATGTGTTTCAGCTGTGAACAACATTTCAGAAATCAAAAATTCATTTAGCAAGATATAATTCTGTCACTGCACTGGCAGAATGGACAAAGATAAGCATATGTATGTGCATGTAAGTATAGGTAGAAGAGGGATATAAGAGTGCTAAATCCTCTTGATGCATGTAGGAAGTCAAAGAGGATATCTAAAACAAAAAAAATCAAGCAATAGTATAAATAAGATTACATAGAAATAAGGAGGTAAATATTCAAGGACATAAGCACACAAGTGGAAGCCTCTGGAAATCAGTAATAGAGAGTTAGGAGGGTGGGCAAGGCTAGGAGAGTTTTATGAAAAGTCTTTGGAACTCTGACTTTTAAAAAAACAACAACATGTTTATAGCTTTAATAAAAAGTTGACTTCTTTTACTATCCCCTTATTTCTGAAAAAGGAGTTGAATTTACAGTTAGTGGTATACCAGAAATGGCAAAGGGAACCATTTTATTTGTCACACTTATTTGCATAATAGGGAACTTAAAATAACCAATGAACTAGGGCCAGTGTTGTAGCGCAGCAAGTTAAGTTGCTGCCTGTGACACTGGCATCTCATATTAGAGTGCTGGTTGGAGTCCCAGATGCTCCACTTCTGATCCAGCTCCCTGCTAATGTGCCTGGGAAAGTAGCAGACGATGGCCCAAGTATTTGGCACCCTGCCCACATGGAAGACCTGGATTGAATTCCTGACTCCTAGTTTTGGCCTGGCCCATCCCAAGGCCACTGCAGCCATTTGGGGAGTGAACCAGCGGATGGAAGCTGTCTTTATCTCTGTGCCTCTCCCTTTCTCTCTGTCACTCCGTCTTAAATAAATTAAATAAATCTTTAAAATAATAATAATAATGATAATCAATAAACTTCTGGAAGAGCTTTCCAAGGAAGCACGCTGGTTTAAACAATAAAAAGAAGAAACGCCCCACTGGAAACCTTATGATCTGGATAAAAGAGAACACTGTTGAGCCCTTTCTATGTGCCAACCTCATCAAGGACTCAAAACAACAACCAAGGAAGATGGGCATGTAATTTTG